CAGTCTAAACTGACAGTTTGATAGAACAGGATCAGAGTATATCTTGTACTTTTGCAGAACGTAATTAACACATTGACAGGTCTATTACTGTGCTGTAGGGCAGTGTTAGCAGTTCTAGAAAGAGGACACATACATGCCAGGCCACCTTGGAGCCAGCTGAGCTGAACCAGAAGATTTGAGGGGCTTGAACTTCTAAGGTTAAACCAGACATTTTCAATCAAAATATTATTTCTCACTGACATAATATTGTGTTGTATAGATAAAGATATGTGGTCTTCACTGTCATAGTCTCTTGTTGCTTAACATATCAGCCATTAAAATAATGAGGTAGAAGCAACTGAAAATACAAGGAGCAGATAAAATACTCCATTACATAACAAAAATCTATAATAATAAAAGGATCTGTCTGCCCATTCATCTGTGGCAGGCATAACTCCTCAGAAAATAAATCTGTGCACCTGAAAATTGCCCAAAGTCTTCAGTATGATCATGGGAAAGGAGTAGGAACATCCTGGCCCATGCTATCCCCAGATACCCACAATCTCCCCTCCACCCACATTTTTGCATTGGAAGCTCTGGATGTCTGTGGCAGGCATAACTCATCAAAAACTAAAGCTAGGAGCCTCAAAATTGGACACTGGCTTCAGGATAATGATGGTAGTTGTTGTGCCCAAAACAAAGGGAAGCAGAACATCCTGGTACAGATTAACACCACAACATTCCTCTGATATTTGCAATGGAAGCAGCACAGAAGCCGGGAAAGTTCCACCAGCACAGACAGTGAGGGTGGAAAATATCCCCTTTGTGAAAAACTACAGGGGGGTTAATCACTTCCCTGATCTATCAAAGCCTGGGTGGGGTAGTGGTTAGAATGTCAGATCAAGCAGATCCAGGTCTGAATCCCCACTCTGCCAGGAGGTGTTGCTACCTGACCTTGGCTCAGTCATACACGCTCAGCCATGCCTATCTTACAGGGTTGTTGTGAGGGCAGGAGAACAATGTAAGCCACTTTATGTCCCCATTGGCAAGAAAGGCAGCACAGACAGGAAGGATAAAAAATATCCCCTCCTTTAACAAAAGGGATTTAAAAACCTCACAGAGTATCACAGCCAGTGTGATTTAGTGGGTAGAGTGTCTGACTAGCATCTAGGTATAGATTCTATATCCCCACTTTGCCATTGAAAATTGCTGGCTGACCTTGTGCCAAGTACACATTCTCAGCTTAACCTATGAAATGGAGGAGACAGCACAGCTGTCCAAGGGCTGGCTTGCCTGGGCGCCCCACAGCCACGGGGCAATCGGGCAAGCCAAGGGAAGGCAGTTTAAGCTGCCTTCCCTTCCCTCCAAGGGCCGGCTTGCCTGGGCAAGCCAAGGGAAGGCATGGGGTGTGGCCTAATATGCTAATGAGCTGTGCTGTCAGGCTGTCAAGAGATGTTCAGAGGTGGCTTGCCATTGCCTGCCTTTGTGCAGTGACCACTTCTGCGGTGGTCTGCCACCCAAGTACTAACCGAGGCTGACTCTACTTGACTTCTGAGATCTGACAGGATCAGGCCAGCCCAGTCTCTGTATTCCAGGGAAGGATCATGGGAACAGCTGATAGACTTTGCTCTGTCCCAGCAGGAGTGCTTCAGTCTTCTCATCAAGAAGTACCACTGCGTCAAGTGGAGCTTAACTCTGAGCAAACAAGCTTATAATCAGGAAATCTGATACACCTGTGTCTGTTTTGCTTGATAGCTCACTAGGATGGAGGAAAAGGGAAGAACCATTCCCTCCTTGAGAGAGTGGATAGCGGCAGGCTGACTTTTCACAAGCTGGGTGCTTAGATATTCTGAAATAACGGGTTAGATTGTTTCTTGAGAATTCTTAAATATTTAGGAAAATAAAAGACCCCCTCCTCACATGCTGATGAGGGAACATAGGCATTGCCCTGACATGTGGGGTGCAGCTGAGTCGGGAGGTTGCTCTGCTCAAGCACCTTTTATATCTTGATTGGGGGGATTTGGGAAGGGATTTCTCAAACATTTATGCTTTGTGCTTTTGAAGCAGTTTTTCTCCAGGTAGGCTCGCCAGCTCTGAGTTGGGAAATACCTGGAGATTTTTGGGGTGGAGCCTGAGCAGTGGGTGTTGCCTTCTGACATACTTCCGGTGATGTCAGGGCCAGGGGTGTGGCATATGCAAATATGCTAAGACCTCCTGCACCTCTTTTTCAACAAAATGACCCCTGATGGTAGCCCTATGTAAAGCTGTTCATTCAGTATTCAAACTAACATTAAATATCATAAGTGGAGCAAACAGGCATACCTCTAGTAAAAAAATATGAAAACTTCCAAACTAGTAATTCAAGACCAGTAGGGGAGGTAAATCTACTACTTTCCATTTTGCCGGGGGAGGGGCAGTTTCAAGTCAAATCTACCCTGTTTCCCCGAAAATAAGACCTACCCCAAAAATAAGCCCTAGCAGGATTTCTATGCATTTGTGGTATAAGCCCTAGTGTGTCTTCTTGAGAAAAAATAAATATAAGACAGTGTCTTATTTTCGGGGAAACATGGTACAGCTGCTGTCAGTGCAACTAGGTACGGCATCTAGTTTTAAGCTCATGAAACAGTTTGAACATATACAGATACAAAGTTTGAGTCCAGTGGCACCTTTAAGACCAACAAAGTTTTATTCAGTGTGTGAGCTTTCATGTGCACTTCCCCTGAGGAAGTGTGTGTGCACACTTGAATAAAACTTTGTTGGTCTTAAAGGTGCCACTGGACTCAAACTTTGTTCAAAGTGCTTCAGACTAACATGGCTACCCACCCAGATCTGTATACAGATACAGATACCCCTGACTTGGATAGCCCAGGCTAGCCCAACCTCATCAGATCTCAAAAGCTAAGCAGGGTCAGTTCTGGTTAGTATTTGGATGGGAGACCACGTATGGTAGAACCAACCCAGCTTCCGCAAAAGGGAGTCCTGCCTCCCCAAGTTTTCCAAGTGTGTAAACAAGCATGTGGATGGGGTTTGCACTGGAAGTGACTGAGCAGGGAAAAAATCTTGGGGTCATGGTGGATGGTTCAATGAAAATGTCAGCTGAGTGTGTGGCAATGGTGAAATTAAGCAACACACCAGGGACACCAGGGTCGCAACACAGATGGCAGGCAATAGCAAACCACCTCTGAATGTCTCTTGTCTTGAAAATCCCACAGGGTCACTGCAAGTCAGTTGTGACTTGATGGCAAAACAAAGAAAAAGATACATACATGCTCATATTGGGTTGTCAACCTCCAGGTTCTGGAAGGAGACCACCTGGAATTAAAACTGATCTCCGGGCTATAGATATCAGTTATCCTGGAGAAAATGGCTGCTTTGAAAGGTGGACTCTAAAGCATTATACCCTGTTGAGGTACCTCCCCTCCCCAAACCCTAGGCTCTGCCCCCCAAATCTCCAGGAATTTCCCAGCACAGACCTGGCAACCCTACTTCATGAAGTTGTCTCATACTGAGTGAGACTGGACTACCAAGCTTAGTACTATCACTCTGGCTGTCATTGGTGGATCTCCAGGGTTGCAGCAGGAGAAAAAATCTCATTACACAACCCTGGTGTCTGCCTTTACCCTTTATAACTGTGCAAATGCTCATTTGTGTTTTTCAAATGAGATGAACCTTCATTGTTTGTTTCCTCTTCTCAGAATGCAAATGCTGTAATCTAACAACTACAGCAATCAGACTAGAGAATGTGAACCTGCCAGCATACAGCACCAAAGGCTGGATTGACAGGCTGTTAATCTGGACCTGGAAATTTTACTTTTTTCTTCCTTCATTTTTTAATTTTTGTAACATCTGCTTGATGAATAGTTCTGAAGAACTAGAATGCTTCCACAATTTTATTTATTTGTTTATTTATCATTGGATTTATATCCCGCCCTCCACGCAAGTGGGCTCAGGGTGGTTCATAACAGTCAAATAAGAGTACAGATAAATACAATATAAAACAAATTAAAATTTTCAAATCAACACAGGACAACACTATCTCTGGTGCAATGTTTTGTGTTGTTGTAACTCATGATCAGGCATTTCTTTCTTTAATCAGTGATTTCCGTTTATTAGAACAGAACACATAACAACACAGAACACACAGAACAACCCCAACTTATATACAGTTTGAAACTAGCTAATCCGCACCCCTAGAACAGTAAGGTCCAATCATAAGTGTGTGCTTAGGACCAATAGGGTTTGTTCCTGCCGAAAGTCATAGTCTTCCCCGACTGGTCCACTGCACAATGGCAGCCAATCAGGCTGTCGATTTCAGGATACTGAGAGTCTAAGGAGCTTGTGACTGAAGCTCAGGCTCATTCTACAATTCAGGCTATCCATATAACACAATATGTAACATATGCCATTTGGGTTAGCTTCAATAAAAGGTTATTACATGAATTTTGTTTTCATAATTTTAGCTACCTTCTAATTACCCCAAGGTTTATATAGTAATTAGAGACATTAAGGGGACTTTGCTATCAGGGCATCACCCTGGTGCCATTTGCCTGCCAGAGGTCTTTTAGACTCAAAACGTTATCTAAACATTTTAAAATATCTGTATGTAATCTCTACCATTTGCTGCTAAAAACCGAAAAGTTTTTACTTTTCTGATGAATTACTGTTTTGGCTCTGACTTGGCAAAGAGTTTCCTTATCAGTGGGAGAAAACAATAGGGAGAATAGCCTTCCTGCTCTTGTCAGCCCTTTATACTATTATACTGTGACTCCTTTTTTCTTTCCACATATCTTACATGGCCAAAATAGAGACACAAGTTGACAGAAAATGCACAGACTGTGTAATAAGGATAAAAGGCTCTCCCACTATATGGTATTTGAGATCCCTTCAGTGGAGCTCCCAGGGACTGAACTGGTAACTTCTGCAAGCAAAGCATGTGTTCTGCTACTGAGCTATGTTTTTTTTTAAGGTTTCTCAAGTTTCTGTGAAGCAAACATGCAAGTGGGTTAACTATTTGTGCTCACCTTCAGCTGGTGCAAGTATGGCTTCCAAACAGTATCCATCAGATCCTGCCTGTACTTCTTAGTGAAGTAACCCAAGTAGGACACAAAGGCTGTTGTCAGCAAGACGTCTCCACACAACGCACTCTCTTGAATCCTGAAATCTTTCACAGATTCAGCCCATCTCACATTTTCAGAAGCAAGGCCACCAACCTAAAATGATCACCAGAAAATGGTTATCTAGATCCTATCATAGCATTTTATGCACTTTGACACAGTTGTTGGAGCCCTATCTGCACTTTACACCCACTATATATTTTGACATTGGGAGAGATTGAAAGCACAAAGCAAAATTTCAGGAAAGAAATTCTGGTCTCAGATATTTTTCCATTCAAGAAAATATTTTGCTTCCAAAAAATATCACTTGGGAAGGAGAGATATGCCTGCTTATCCAGTAAAGGCACACATTAGCATGTACAACTGGAGCTCACACCTTCCTTGGTAACTGTCTGAACCTCCCTAGCCAGGTTTAGTTCACACAAGTATAAAGCTCTGCCACAGTTCCTGGTGGCAAGTGCATTCTCTGCACATGCGCAGGGAATGCTCTTTTACTTTTGGGGGATTTAAGTATCCCCCGTATAGTTTTTTCAACATTTCAGATTTTTCTGCACACCTGGGGAGTACCCCAAGTGTGCAGAAAAATCTGTTTACCCTCCATGTGCTCCCGATGTGCAGATTTAGGTATCTGCACAGAGGGGGCATCTTGGCTAATAGATGTATAGATAATTTCTATGGGAGATGGGTGACACAGTGAAGACGAATAATGTGTTTTCACTTTTGCATTTTGGTTTTGGGAAAACAAGTGCAGGTTATGATAGGTTTAGGAGCAATTTCCTCCTCCCCAACCCCACCCAGTGGAAACAACATGGCTTGTCTTTAAACCCAATTAAGCTAATCATGTTTATATTGCTGCTTAATCCAGAATAGCTGCCACCACTGACCACATATGTTTTAAAACAGTAGAAATTACTGATTATCACAAATCAGGAAAGCCAGCTATAATGTTGGTGGCTGGCTAGCTGTCCTACAGGGTACATGCTCCTGACACATGCTCCTGGTTAGGATAGCCATAGCACAAAATCTTGCTATCTTAGCAGTAGTTTCATTACAAATATCAGCTAAAAGAAGAGTAGAATAAAACTGATTTGACCTGCCTGGGTAGGTGACAATTATTGGCATAATATATTTAGAACGAATTTGTGATAAAATTGACAAGATAACAGAACATGCTCAATTGTCTCGACCTGTCCAGAATTACAAGGACAGAGTTGGTTTGAGCATATCTCCCTTGCAGGAGGGCAGATGGGAGAACATTTAATCGTGCTAAGGTAAAAGCTCTGCAGTGCTTTGGGAGTTTTAATGAATAAAGGTAACTGGATGGAGCAAATTTTAGGTTTTTATTTCTCACCACTAAAAGGTGTGAGGGCTCGTGCTTTGTCCATTTGGAGAGACGTGTCCCATAATCTTTGTTTGACAAGAGCTTTGCCTCCTTGAAATCCAAGGTGTAGAAGGACAGTACTAGAGAAGCCTAGAAGTGCCAGTTTGTATTCTGTTGCGGAAACTAGCTTGAGCAAAAACTATCTGAAAGAATTAAGGGGGTCAGCCCCGATGAAAGGAGTTTTAGTTTAAGCCAAAAACATATCGCATAATACCAAGCCTAAGTTTCTAATGTAACTAGGCCAGCCTCAAGCTTAAGCAGAGCACTGGGAACACATTTTGGTACTCCAAATAAAGATCTCAAAAATTTTGACTGAATTGTTTCAAGTTTGGTGTATTTCTTATACAGGGAGATCTGTGTGCCATACATTAGTTGAGGTATTGTCTTACCCCAAAAAACCTTCAAAGCATAAGGAATGTAAGCTCCTCCTTTGGTGTGAAAAAATCTCAGGGTTGCAAATGCTGATTTGTGGGCAGAATCCATGACCTGAGAAAGGTGAGCCGCCCACGAGTCTGAAGATTGAAATGCAACTCCCAAATACTTGAATACTTTAACCTGGTGTAATATGTTTAGAATGAATCTCATGATAAAATAGACAAGATTAAAGAACATGCTCAATTGTCTCGACCTGTCCAGAATTACAAGGACAGAGTCGGCTTGCGTTTGGGGTATGAGCTCTTCTCAGGCCTACGGTTCAGTGTATGACAAGATAGCTGTGTCATCTACATATAAGAGCATGGGAATGCATCTTTTTGCAATAGTTGGAGGGTGAAAATCCAAATTAGTTAAAGACTGTACCATAGAATTTATATAGAAGTTAAATAGTAGAGGGGCAAGTATGCACCCTTGTCTCACCCCCCTCCTGACTGGGACCTTATGGAACAGGTGTCCTTGAGGGTTGCATCGTAGTGATAGTTGATTATCTTCATGGATATCACGCTAAGCAAGCTGACTGGACAATAGTTAGAAGGGTCTGATCTTGCCCCCTTCTTATAAATTAGGATGATGACTGCCATGCCCCAATCTTTAGGGATCTGAGCTGTTTGATTAATATAGGTGAAGAGGGTTGTGAGTACAGGTGCCCACCAGTCAATGTCTGATTTTATTAATTCTGGGGGAATTAAATCTCCTCCAGGGGCTTTGCCCAGTTTTATCTGGGTTACGAGTCTCCTGACTTCAGTGGTTGTGACTGGTGGCCAAGATAGAAGATTAATTAATCAATGGGCATGACATTAGGGATGCCTCTGCTGCAAATATTGCAAAAAAGTGGTCCTCCCAAGTTTTTGCTGGAAGCTCGCAGGTAAGTTTGGAGCCTTCTGAATGTAGACCTCCTGGGACTATTTTCCAGAAAAGTTAGTCATTTTTAAGTTTTGCCGCAGTGTTAGCCACCCTGAGCCCGCTCGCGGGATGGGTGGGGTATAAATATAATAAATAAATAATAAATAAATTTGCTGCCTGATTAAGGTGCAGCCAGGTTTTATGAATCTTCTCCCTTTTTTGTTTTGATTAGTGTTTTATATTGCTGTTTTAAAACGAAAAGATCTGGTGAGATTGTTTCTGCTATTTGTATCTCTTATACTTATTTGTTAACTGTTTTTTAAGAGTGAGGCATTCATAATCAAATTAAGATTAAGAGATAATTTTACCTTTTTGGGGCCTATTAGTTGCATAATTACAAGGGCGTAGATTTAGCCATCCCTTTATGATTTGCGTGTAACATGCTAAAATGCCTTCTAGGCTTGATGTATAAACACCATCATTTTGACCAAATTAGTGAAAAAGTACATAAATGACACAGGTGCCAGGCAAGGCAAGCTTAAGAATAGAAAGCCTGAGGTTGAAAAATGTCCTACATCTGGGCTAAGAAACAAAATCACTTTACTCATTCCATCTTAATTAAGAGATCGCCCTCCATGCTAATTAGTTGTTATTCCTCTTTTCCTTCTTTCACTTTTTAATTGGCTTCTCTATGAATGACTTTGGTAACAGCCTCAAAGCTTAACTCTCATTTCTTTGTAAATAAACCCAAAAGTGATTGTGGAAATTACCAGCTCCCCTTGCTGGTGAAACTCAGCTCCTTTCAGCCACGGAGCCTGGCAGTGGTCATGGGCAAGGGCTGCTTTGCCTCCCCTGGAAGGAGGGAGAGGCATGTGACCGGTGACACCAGTGTCACAGCATCACCGTGGAGGAGCGGAGCCAGCAGGTATTTAAGCGCAGCTCCAACCCTACCCTTCCTCTCCCGTCATGTGCTCGGCCGCAGGAGGACAGAGCAGGCCTCAGCCACAGGAGAACAAGGGTGGGCTTTGGCCTACCAGTGGTAGGTGTGGTGGACATTGTGGCCTTTTTGGGCCAGGAGGATCCTCTTGGGAGAAGCAGAGAATGAGGTGACATTGTGTGGGGCCCAATGGGGCTGCAGGTGACCAAGGTGACTCTGAGGCTCTGTAAGCAGGCCAGCAAGGGGCTTCACTTGTGGGGCATAGTTTTTGTTGGTAGGGGACTTAGTTTAGCCTTAGGCCTACTCAGCATGGGGACAAAGAAGGGGTAAGGGCATTCCAAGGGCAAGCAGCCTGCACTGAGAGCAGCTCTGAAGCGGGTGGTCCCCACCCTTTCCTTAGATGAGGGGGATGAGGCCCATGACAGGCTGGCCATTTCAGACAGGTTGGAGGCACTTGAGTGGAGTATGGGTAGGCGGCAAACTAGACAGACTACCAATAGGAATTTTCAAGCAGAGGTATCAGCGTGCTTGTCCGCATTGAAGGGCAGGTGCTGTAAGTTGTCACGGACCGAAGGAATGACTGCAGTGGTGACACACCAAGAGGAAGGGCTGGACATGGAGGAGGCAACACAGAGGCAGCAGCCTGATGGGATTCAGGTGGTGTCAGAGGAGATTCCTCCAGTTGAGGAGGGTGGGACCGAATGCACTCTGGTGGGCCTGTGTGGCCTTGGGGACCCTGGTTTCAGCCTGCTGCCTCTGGATCCCCAGGCACCTCACAGGCACAAGACACACCATAGATGCCCATACCTGTGCAGCATGGCGGTTGGGCATGGGGAATGGGGCAGCTACTGCCCCAGGCAGGGTGGGGGAGTGTTTCATCGCTGCCATCCCCCAATCACAGGGAGCCACCTGGGGATGTGGATACTCCAGCCTATGGGGGATGTCCTGCAAAGTGGTGCCCATGAAAGCCCTGCCATTCAGTGATCAGGCCATGCCTTTGAGAGATCATCATTCATCTGCAACATGGGATAGGATATGAATATATGAACATGTTCACCCTTCTATTTAGGGAGCTAGAAAAGAAGGATAAGGAGGACCTTGAAGAGAGGGACAAAGAGAAGCTGAAAAGGCATAGAATATATCCATGGGCTAAGTGGTTGCCGGGGTTCTTCATTTACACTGGTGTAGTATTCTGGGCCCAGCTTTGGCAGGCACTACTCTTGTTTCAGTATACCAGGAGTATTCAGATTTTGCAGGCCTGGTGTGGCTCCAATATGATAAGGAGTTTCGTATGTGGGCAGCCATGAATCCCGCCTTGCACTGGCATCAGATTCATTCACGATTGCGGATGCAGGTTATGTCATTGGCAAGGCCCAATAGTGTTGACCAGTCTGACAGCAGTCACATTATGCACAGTAGTTTAGTCACCCATGTCCTGGCAGGGCAGGATGTTCAACAGCACCTGCTTTACTGCAAGTTCAGCTCCCAAGAGGCATGTGG